AAATATTCGTTAGATCCATGTGTAATTTGACGATTCATAGCGCAAGGACTGGCGATCTGCAGTTACTTTACTTCAACCATTATTTATTAAAATGCACAAGCTTTGCTCTTTTCACACACAAATGAATCCGTTTTCAACACAAGTTTTCCGAAACACATTTTTTTTAATCACAGATATTTACCATTGCTTTACCAATTTTTAGCTCTTCTGAGCCAAAGGCTCAAAGAGCTAATGCTATGGCCATTTGTGCGGTGTGCGTCGTGCGGTGTGCGTTAACTTTTTAGAACATGGGCCATAACTCAAGAACCCCTTGGCCAATCATTGTCAAATTTGTCACAGGGTATCCTTGGCCCAAGGGCTACCATTTATACTAAAACTAGGGGTGGGACCCTAAAACAAGGGGAGATAATCAGGAAAATGAAACCAAAAGTACTGGTTGCTAAAAAATCTTCTCCTCCAGAACCACCAGGCAGATTTTCACCAAACTTACATACAAGGGTCGTGATATGCTGAAGATTAAAAATTGTTCAAGGCATCACCCTGGGGCAAAGGGTGTGGTCTCAAGGTCACTTCAAAGTTGACAAAAATTTACACGTAATAAAAACGTTGATATTTTGCTTACTATAAAGACTAGGATCATCAAATCTTGTAAGTTGATGCATCTCAGGACTTCACATCGTGTTAATACAAAAGTAGGTCACGGTGACCTACTTTTTAAATTTTACGGGCTTTTGTTTTCAAATTGATTTTGAGGCATATTTTGGACACTTTAAGGACTATGATCATAAAACTTTGGCAGTTGGTGCATCTTGGGTCCACAAACAACATCAACTTAAAAGTAGGTCATTGTGACCTACTTTTTGAATTTTATGGCTAATCTTTTCTAAAACATTTAGTCCCATTATTTCAGACACCGAGAGGTTTAGAATCACCAAATTTTGTTAGTTGACGCATCTTGGGGCCTTAAGACATATTTATTAAAAAGTAGGTCACCGTGACCTACTTTTTGAACTTTGCAGGCATTTGTTTTCAAATTGTTTAAAAGGCATATGTTGAATACTATAAGGCCTATGATCATCAATTTTTGTCAGTTGATGCATCTTTGGTCTTCAGAAAATGTCGACCAAAAAGTAGGTCACGGTGACCTACTTTTGACATTTTATGGCTAGATTTAAGTATCTCGGGTACTTATTGGCTTAGAATCATCAAACTTTGTCAGTTGATGCATCTTAGGTTTTCGGAGATTGACAATCAAAAAGTAGGTCACCGTGACCTACTTTTGACATTTTATGGCTAGTATATGTATCTCAGGTACTTATTGGCTTAGAATCATCAAACTTTGTCAGTAGATGCATCTTAGGTTTTCGGAGCATGTCGACCAAAAAGTAGGTCATGGTGACCTACTTTTGAATACCTCAGGTACTGATTGGCTTAGAATCATCAAACTTTATCAGTAGATACGTCTTGGGTTTTCGGAGAATGTCGACCAAAAAGTAGGTCACAGTGACCTACTTTTGACATTTTATGGCTATATTTAGGTATCTCGGGTACTTTTCGGTTTAGAATCATCAAAACTTTATAATGTGAAGCATTTTGGGTTCTTGGGTTCTTGGAGAATGATCATTGAGAAAAGGTCACAGTGACCTACTTGTGACATTTATGGCTATATTTAAGTATTCTAGGGTACTTATTGGCTTAGAATTGTCAGACTTTGTCAGTTGATGCACCTTAGGTTTTCAAAGAATGTTGACCAATAAGTAGGTCACTTTTACCCACTTTTGAATATCTCAAGTACTTGCTTAGAATCATCAATCTTTGTCAATTAATGCATCTTGTGTCCTCAGGAAATTTCAATCAAAAAGTAGGGCATCATGACCTACTTATAGTATTTTATAGTTACATTTAAATATCTTCAGCCCTAACTGGCTAAGAATCATCAAACTTTTTCAGTTGATGCATCTTGGGTCTTCAGATAGATTGTGTCATTTATCAGAAGAGCGATTCAAGGCCCCTGGGCCTCTTGTAAACTTTTAAAGAGAATCTTCCGAATCGTAAGGATAGAATTATACTCAATGAAATGGACTAAACATCGATAAGTAACACCGGTACGTGTAAACTTCATAAGTGACTTCTGTGCTGCACACTGTCTATTAATCTATATTACAGGTTTTATAGTAAAGTTCAAGAAATAATGATTTTAAAGCAATGAACTTAATTTGTTTTATAATTTATTCAAAACCCGTATAAATGATTAGTAAAGTGTGCTAACATTGTAATTTTGTTCCGTGATTAAATATCAGTAGCAGGTTATACAATGTACATTCAAGTAGTAGTAAACCAGCATATGTCCAGAATCGAAATTTAAGAACTTATATACCGGGGTAACAATGTTATCTGAATATTACAGACATCATGTAATTAAACGCTTTTACAACCTAAATTAAACTGTTAAAATCATAACCGGCTCCAAAGTCAAACCATTTGTATCGTTTACCGTATATAACTCAGTATTTTCTTTAAAATGATGAACTTATATCTAGCGCAAATTACTTTCCTTGGTTTAAGATATACGCGTACGAGAAAAAAACGAGTGAGAGGCATTTTATTCAAGTACATTCAAGTTTTTACCAGCGAGTCCCTGTATCAAGTATTGTCTAATTTTTATTCTATTAAACATAATCTCCCTTTCATATTTAAATTTAATTTATTTGATGATTTTATTCAACTTCAAGCACAATATCATTATGTAGTACTAAAATGAAGTCCATGCACGGATGCTATAGTATTGTACATGGGAATTTTCTTTAATCCTTTATCCATGCATTCCTCCTTCAAGGAAAATAATTATGAATGAATTGATTGAATAACGTGTATAAAACCACGTGGTTTCGGTTTGTCAACATGTTTTAGATGATGATCAGCAAATCACAACTCCTCGGGTCTTCCTGTCTAACAGAATAATAACCTCGAATGTATTACGTATACATCATGACATCCCCATGCTCCTTAACCCCTTTACCTAAACTTTGAAATAAATGAGGAAAGATATTCTATTTGTGGACTTTTGAGTTTAATTTTATTGAAATAAAGCTATTACCCTAAAATACGTATTATGGAAAGGACTTTCAACCCCGTCTATCTTTCATAAATAGAAACTCCATGTTGTTTGAATATTAATATCCGGTGATGTTTTAAAATACCTCAACAGTTTTTCTGAACTGTGACAAAATGGATTGAGATAATGCAAATTTCAAAATTCCTGTCAGGGTTATGAACTTCTAATCACTAAAAGGTGTTTGTCTTGACACAGAGCCAACGTTATTCTGTTAAGATCAAGGTCACTGACAGAAGAAATATTATCTTTACTACACTATGAATTAGTAAATGAAAATCATTGGAGGCTCTTACTTGAAACATATTTTACTTATGATTGGAGGTTTTGTCATTACTTTGATCAAATGTCTTTCTGGCAAATCAAGGTCACTGACAAAGACAAAAATGTTTAAGCATAACTTTATAATTAAAATTTACTGGAGGCTCATGCTGGGAAGGTTGTTGACATAAGAAAGTGCAGTGACCTTGACCCAAGGTCTGTACTTCCTGTCCACAGCTCCAACGGAAGACCTACTCGTTGCTTTGCAACGAGCTCGACTCTAGTTTGATTATGTTTTTATATCAATTTTTGAAAAACATATCCAACATGTTTTAATTTAAAGTAGATCTTAATTCAAGGCTTCAATGCATTGTTACATCTGATTAATTACGGTACATGAAAAATATTTATACAATTTGAATTTAATATTTTTTTTCCAAAGCATCAAATCATATTCTGTGTAAGCTATAATTGTGAAATCAGTACTATTTTTGTTTTATAGAAAATTTGTCTCCATTTTAAAAAACATCAAGTTGATATGTATTTCAGATTTTATTAACAGTAGCTCAAGTCTTAATGCTGTTATTGTACTTAATCATGTGATCAAGTTTGAGCCAATCAGAGAGTTTGAAATAAATGATAAAAATGATATTATATAAATATTGCATGTAGTTGAGTGTAACATTGAAAATGTTCACCCCAAGAAAACCATTGTCAACCGAGGCGCAGCCGAGGTTGACAATGGTTTTCGAGGGGTGAAAATTTTCAACGTTACACTCAACTACATGCAATATTTATTATATTATACTGAATGTTTTATACAAATACATATTACAGTGAACCGTGCGCGCATAAATTCCGCGCAGTCGCTATTTTTTGTAATACCACCCGTCGTCAAGCAATGTTGACTGTTGCTACGCAGGAGGGCGTGGCTTCATTATTCAGCGGGTACTAGTGATTTTTATCAAATGTTTCCCGACGAATCAGATTCAAGTAATTTACATGAAAGTATGATATTAATAAATATGGTGGCAATGCTAAGTTTACAGATATTTAATCTACTATCATATAACAGTGACTGTCTCTTCAGAAAGGTATTCATAATCTTTTTCCATTGCTTGCAGTCAATAATATTAACCAGCTAATGAAATGTAGTACATTTTCAGAATCAATTACTGGTTATACTGAAATTTATACTGTTCATTTCCAAAGACTTTGAAAAATGATGTGATACTTGTTTCTTTCGAGCTGTATAATTATATACAATTTGGATAAAGCAGCAGGCTTGAAGGTGTTAAATAATATATGTTTGTCTCGTGTGGAACAAACTTAGTACTGGTAACTCGTTATTAGAGTGTTTATTGTATAAAGTAAATTACTTTATTAATGACAAAAGAAAAGAACAAGTGACTAGGTCGTTGTATTTCTTCAGATTGATGTTTTCATATTTTTTTAAATACACTGTGAATTTAAAAAGAAAGTACAGGGTGTAAAGAAAATATCCCCCCTTTCTTGAGAAAGTCTGCTGTTTGAAGTATTTTTTAAGATGAAAATATGTATTCCTAATATACTATGCATCAGTTTATCTGTTGTTAAATCCATAAATATTACCTGGTTTTCGACAGTAATGGTGTCCTCTGTCAATCAGCTACTGATCGTCTCTACGTGGTCAGAGTGTCAGAGATCATATGATCCATATGCCTGTGTTATCTACCTGTGGTCTGGTTCACCTGTACTGGGAATTTGATTTCTGGAGTCACTCTTAGATTATTTAACCCTTTTAAATGTAATATATATACATGTACATTTTTCTTTCTTGATGACAAAGGACCATTAGTACTCATTATTCATATCTGGTGGATATTTTGAATAAGTGTAGGATAATCAGGGGTCGATAAATTTTTACTATGGAATTCAGAAAACATATACTGAAAGGAAAAAGAAATGCAAGGTAGCATAATATTTGAAATTTTTTTGACAGCATGACCGAAAATTACGAAAATTGGTCAGATGAGAAATTTAGTTACTATACACCAAAATCAGTGTTCAAAATTACTCAACCGTAAAATGCATGATGTCACGTAGGGAAAACGCTAAAAAGCCCAAAACGCGTGCAATTTGATGACGACGAGTTTGTCATCAAATTTTGTTGCACCATTTGTTGCATCTGAAGTATGCACATTGTTTTTCAATATTTAAGACGATATGAATTTCTTGCAATCTTGGTACAGTTTACGGAAGTTCAATGGGGTCTGGTTTTCGAATTGCCTTATCTTGTTACCCGTTGTCAGAGAGGACCTGAAATGGTTTTCAATCAACCATGACGATGACTTTAACGCGAAACAGTCATGTTACGAGTGGGTTATTTGTCCTGCCATCTCTTAAATCGCCACCTTAATACACACAAAAACTGCCTTTTATACAGAAGACTATTATAATCATTATATTCAAATAAAAAATGACAGAAAACAATTACACAATCTGGTTTTTTGAGCCAGTCAATTTAGTGTTGTTACCTCTCACTGGCGCATGCGCGCCTCGTATGACTATAAATTTTTGGGGCATTCTTACCCATGCATGCCCAATATAGCCAGGGTTTGAAAAATAAACACTCTGATGACTTCCATGCATAGGAGAAATAAGACTCGGGACAAAAGCACGGGAGAGACATTGAAGATAATGAGAGTTTTCGATTTTCACTTTTGGTGGGTATCGTCGTATGAGCTTCCATAACTAATGAATTAATGGACAAATTCAAATGAGGTTTTGGTTATATCTTTTTGAAATAAAAAAAAAATGTTGATTTGATTCTAGTGAGCTTTGTAATAGTAATAAATAGACCTATAGTAAATTCTAAACATAAATGTATTTATAGTACTAAGTCTTTTATTTTTGATATTTTTCCAGAGCAGCGTTTTTCTTCATCAGGACGAGAAGATGTTGATGTAAGAATGTTGGGAAAAGGTAAATTATACAAAATTTTTTTTAAAAATGTAATATTTTTTTCACAAAAATCTTTTAACATTGTTTTAGCTTTGTTTTTGATAAAGTGAACATTTTTATATTATAGTTCTCTTCAAGAAAATTATGCAGGGTTTATAAATCATCAAGAATAATGCCCATATACATGGAAAAGGGTTTCAGAATTTCTTTTCATTATGCAGCTTGACATAACTTCTATTTAATTGAGCTGCAATTCTACATGTAAACTTATTAATAATAGTGATGTGATTTTGTTTCTTAAAAAAACTCCTTTCCTTTTTGCAGGAAGGCCTTTTGTTGTAGAAATGGATGATCCACATCGAGTTGAATTATCGGCAAAAGATCTCATGGAAATACAGAAGGCAATATATATATTTTATAAAACTTATTTCAAAATTGGTACTTTAATTTTATGCTATTAACTTTCACTTATGGTACTGGCTCTTGGCAAGTTTCCACACAATATTTTTGTTTTCGGCGCGGAGTGCAAAAAAATTCCTCCTATATCCAGGTTTTTCATGTAAAGAAAGAAACACATTTATTGTACAAAATATCCTACACATATTTTCTATAACGACAAAAAGTCAATTTGGATAACAAATTAAAAATTAAAGGTACTTTTATTCCCTTAGGAAATAAACAAGTCAGCTGATATTAAAGTCAGGGATTTACAAATTGTTGACAAGTAAGAATTTTCAGATGTAAATGAAATATACATTCTAATTTAATGGACAATGTAAAAATGATCACTGCCAGTAGCTAGGGTTCTAAGGATCAATTGACACTTGATAAGAGGAAGAAAGAACAATTAATTTCCTCAGAAATTAAGATAAAATTAAATGCAATTTCTTTCTAATTTTTTTTATTGCAATGTACAGTGTATAATGAAAAATATTTACAATTCGTTTTCATTGAGACAACAAATAAGAATATTTGAGATATGAAAAACAGAGTTTTGATGAATCTTGACGATGAAAGGTTAGTAATTTTATCTTTCATTTTCACATTTTCATCAATAGAAAAGATGTAGATAAACTGAAGGAAGGTGAAATAGAGAAAACAAAGACGTATTCGGCCCTGTGCGGGTCTAAAGAATCTCTCTCTGATGAACAACTTAACAAGCTTCAGGAGGTCAAGGTACTGTGTTGTATTTATAATAGAGTGTGTCAAGGTAGTGTTTTGTATCGATCAGTAATTTATATTGCGTCAACATTTGTAAAATAAAAGATAAAGTTCCATGAAGTTATGAAGACAAATTCTTTGGTACCAGGTTTTCATGAATACATGTATATATTATCGACTGGTCCTGATACATAACTAGTTTATTGAATCAGAATGAAATATCAAAATAAACTATTTATTGACAGATAATTTGAAATTCACTGGTATTTTATGTTATGTACAAAAATAGTGACAAAATGTTTTAGATATTAACCAGATTTCCTGACTCAAATGTCCTGAATTATTTAATTGTGCCTAGTACCCAGATTAATTCATCTGTCAAACATTGATCTATGATATATCTGCACATTGTCATACCCGTTTAATGTTTTTTGCTAAATGAAGTTATGGGAAATAAAAGAATTAATGTTTGTTTGAATAATCATTGAATAAATTATGTCATATGATAACATGATTTACTTTAATTTGCATTCTATTTTCAGGATCTTGTCATTTATCAAAAGACTTCGATTCGAGTCCCACACCGGCGCCCTCTGGCAACAAGGGAGAGAATTGTGTACAGTATGTCAATGGAGAAAATAGATGACCTTCATTTCACCTTGAGTCTCTCAACACAGGCCGGCACGTATCCTTGTATGGTCGTGTATGCGGAATTTGGATATTTCTAGACTCCTTCAATAAAAAAGAAATGCAAAAATTATAGGGTATCAGGAACGTAGGACATTTCTATATAGAATCAAGTTTGAAGTGTTTATACACGTACAGTGTATGTGTATTAAGCGTGCAGTATGGGTTTTTTAAAGCTTGATGCAGGTGTGTTAATTATATATGTACCTTAACTAAACATTAGCTATATCAAAGAGTTTGTTCACGGAGATTTCGGGAGAACTCTTTTGAGATAAAAATAATCCAAGTATGACTTCAAAATTTTATATTAGATAAATACCAGAAATTTCTAACTTTTTATTTTTCGTTTAAAAACAATTACTTGATATTGATAAAAAACAATAAGATTTTGACATATAAAATAGTCTTTGATATAGGTACGTTAATAACGGTCTCTTTACATACCAATGAGTGAAGGGTGATTGCAGTATGACTTGAATGAGAGTTATTATTCACTGATTTATTTAAAAAATTAAAGCAAACGGCTGTTATATTCTTGTTATTTTCATATTTTATAGAGTGTTGAGCTGGATTGGCCTCCAAGCTTAGAAGAAACCTGACAGATTCCTGTATCCAAGACTAAATAAAGTTTATACCCCAGTTCAATCCTTGTGTTTTCTTTCTTAAAGAGAAGTTTGTATGTCTGAAGCTTGCAAACATTGTTTATTCACATTCTAGGAACCGAATGACTTTCACCACTCTCTTAATTATGTAGCAATATAGCACCAATTATCTACTGCATATAGTAAAAATGTCTCCCAGTTGATTCAATATACTAAGGTTTGTTCAGAGTACTGTCAATATCTAAACTGAGGCAGATTATTGAAAAACTAGTTGATGTTGCAAGGGTATTAACCATCTAGTTTAAAGTCGACATTTTGTAAATCGTTTTGTTGATACAATTTCAACCAGTTTTTGTGTCCAGTATTGACTGGCACTTTCATACAAATATTTTTAGGTCACCTGAGTAAACTCAGGTGACCTATTGCTATCACTTTTCGTCCGTCGTCGTTCGTCGTGCGTCGTGCGTTAACATTTGATCATTTTCAGCTTCTTCTCTGAAACCACTGAACCAATTTCAACCAAATTTGGCTTATAGCATCTATGGGTGAAGGGGAACAAAAATTATGAATTTCATGGGCCCTGCCCCCCTGGGGCCTGGGGGGTGGGGCAAAAGCCACTAAAATTAGTGCAATCTTTAAAAATCTTCTTCTTTACTCCTGGACATCAAGCAGTCAAACTGTTTGCATGATTGTAATCAGCATTGAGTCCTCTACCAAAATTGTGAAACTCATGGCCCCAGGGTCATGGGTTCTAGTGCTAGGGCGGGGCTAAATAAGTATATAGTGAAAATGCATTATTTCTTTGAAAATCTGCTTCTCTGCTACTGGGTATTAAATAAACCTACTAAGTACATAGTTATGATGAACAAGAGTACCTCTACCAAAATTGTGAATTTTATGGCCCCAGGGTCAGGGGTTCTGTTGTTAGGGCGGGGCTCTATAGATTATATAGTGAAATTTCATGAATTCTTTGAAAATCTTCTTCTCTGCTCCTGGGTATTAAATAAACTAACTAAGTGCATAGTTATTATGAGCAAGAGTGTCTCTACCAAAATTGTGAATTTTATGGCCCCATGGTCAGGGGTTCTGGTGTTAGGGTGGGGCTCTATAGATTATATAGTGAAATTTCATGAATTCTTTGAAAATCTTCTTCTCTGCTCCTGGGTATTAAATAAACTAACTAAGTGCATAGTTATGATGAGCAAGAGTGTCTCTACCAAAATTGTGAATTTTATGGCCCCAGGATGAGGGGTTCTGGTGTAAGGGGGGGGCTCTATAGATTATATAGTGAAAATACATGAATTCTTTGAAAATCTTCTTCTCTGCTCCTGGGTATTAAATAAACTAACTAAGTGCATAGTTATGATGAGCAAGAGTGTCTCTACCAAAATTGTGAATTTTATGGCCCCAGGGTGAGGGGTTCTGGTGTAAGGGGGGGCTCTATAGATTATATAGTGAAAATACATGAATTCTTTGAAAATCTTCTTCTCTGCTCCTGGGTATTAAATAAACTAACTAAGTGCATAGTTATGATGAGCAAGAGTGCTTCTACCAAAATTGCGAATTTTATGGCCCCAGGGGCAGGGGTTCTGGTGTTAAGGGGGGGGGGCTCTATAGATTATATAGTGAAAATACATGAATTCTTTGAAAATCTTCTTCTCTGCTCCTGGGTATTAAATAAACTAACTAAGTGCATAGTTATGATGAGCAAGAGTGCCTCTACCAAAATTGTGAATTTTATGGCCCCAGGGTCAGGGGTTCTGGTGTGAGGGGGGGGGGGGGTGGCTCTATAGATTATATAGTGAAAATACATGAATTCTTTGAAAATCTTCTTCTCTGCTCCTGGGTATTAAATAAACTAAATAAGTGCATAATTATGATGAGCAAGAGTGCTTCTACCAAAATTGTGATTTTGATGGCCCCAGGGGCAGGGGTTCTGGTTAGGGGGGGGGGCTCTATGGATTATATTGTGAAAATACACGAATTCTTTGAAAATCTTCTTCTCTGCTCCTGGGTATTGAATTAACTAACTAAGTGCATAGTTATGATGAGCAAGCGTGCCTCTACCAAAATTGTGAATTTGATGGCCCCAGGGTCAGGGGTTCTAGTGATAGGGTGGGGCTCTATTGATTTTACAGTGAAAATACATTAAATCTTTGAAAGTTTTCTTCTCTTCTCCTTAATTTTGGTATTAAGCAGATGAACTACCTATGTAGTTATGATGAGCAAGGGTCCTAATCTTCCAGAATTGTGAATTTCAAGGCCCCAGTGTCAGGGGTACCATAAAGGAGGGGGGACTGTACTTATATACTGAAACTGGATGAATTGTTTGAAATCTGCTCCTTGGTATTTATCAAATATTTTTGAAAAGCAAGGGTGCCTTTTCAAAAATTGTGCAATGTGTGGATCTAGGCCTAAGGGTCAGGGGTTCATGTGTGATTGGGGCATTACTGATCATGCTGAATATTACTGATTACTTGAAATACATTTTTTGTTCCCCTACCCTGCCTATGGGTATTAAGTAAACAAACTAAGCAACTGCTAAGTGTATTGTTATGATGATCAATGGTGCCGCTTTCAAAATTGTGAATGCCATAGCATCTGAATTAAAACATGAATCAAATTCAATCACTGGAAAGTTGTTGCATAATGCTCAGGTGACCTATAAGGCCCATGGGCCTCTTGTTATTATTGAAATGACTATGGAGGACTCCACTAACCCCATCACAACATAGAGCTAATACACACCACCACATTTCTTTGGATGCTGGATCTAACCTACATTTTCCACATGAGTGAATAAACTAGAATTTGGAGCATTTTTATTCACAAAAGACTGTAAGCCCTAATTGGACCAAAGTAATACAGATGTGTTATATCAAATTTGGTTTAGATGCTGGATCTGACGTGCATTTATTGTAGCAGGTTCCAGTAGATAATCAGACTTGCAAGGATGATAGAACTTTAAACTTGCTTTAGTCTAGATGATGAATCTGATCAACACTTTCTATGTGGATCAACAGATATTGATTATGCTTGTTACATAGCATCCACACTACAAGATATACTTTAAATTCTGGATCTGACCTGTACTTACAGCTTGATTGAAGAGACAGTATTTTGAGCAGATGCATTTTTAAGCATCTATATATAAATCTAAACTGAGACAAATTTTTAGAGATGTATAGTGGTCACACATCCAGAATATTGTTTGACATGCAAATTTTCTTGCTTATGAAAAACACGTTATTTATGTATCATAAGAACTGTGTACTCTGTAGAAGTGTAAATTGATAGAGGACATAGCGTCAGTTAAAGATGTTTGGAAATGGAGGAGTGGTCCTATTTTTTCGGCGGCTCTAAATGCACCTTTTGAATTCAAGGAAAATTTTACAACTACACACATCAAATGAATTAAAAAGCAGCAGACACAAAGAATGCAACACTTACTATAGTTAAAATGTAACATACAGAAAGTAATTGTTAAGTAATGGTTTGAGCTGTGCATTTACCAATTGATCGAGCAGTTTCCTTTTTTGGAAAGGTCAATTCTGTAGTACATATGTATCTATGGATCTTACCTTAACTTAGAGTTTGTTGTATTTAGAGATGCACACTACCAGAACATTTGTTTTATGTGCAACTTTTTAACATTTGATTACCAGTGTTTTTATTTTGTAGAGCAAGTTTGACATAATTCTCAATTTTACTTACGACAAGTCAGACAAAGAATGCACATTCCTGTACGTATTTCAAAACAGAAATAATCTATTCAAGTGATTGTGGTTTTCTTCATTCGTATAACTTTATCCTGTCTCTCATAATGTTTTAATTTATCTGATAAATGACTTTAGGTCCTATCACAGTCCAGCATTATTCGGGAAAAGGAAATACCAACAAAAGGTTAGTTTGAATGTAAATGCAAGATTTGGAAATTAAATTCTTAACATAAGTAATGTCAGCATTTATGTGCTGGAATGAAGAAATGAATGTAATATTTTTTCCTTTGATCGACATACTATCAAAGAAATAATTTGGACGGAAAACGTTTGTGCATTGATGAAAATGTTTTCTGTTAAATTTTTTCTTCGATACGTCAGTCAAAGTGAAACATGTTACACTCATTTCTTATCATTTAAATATGATTCAAAATTAATAAAATTAGACTTTCTTTAATTTTACTATTTAATTAAACTTGTCAAAAACTGTGTGTACAAATATATCATTACACTGCCTATAGGCCTAACAAAAAAAAAACAACGTTCTCATATAATGTTGTGTCATAACTAACCTTCTCTAACAATAATTTACAGTTCTTTAACACAAAAAACTTTACCTCTTAAGTTATTATATTTTGCTTTATCCCAATGGGTATATTTTCCACGGTAAGTTCATA